ACTAACCCTTAATTATACAATAGCAAACCACTGTCTATCCGCAGTACATACGTCCCGAAATGTGTTGTTGCGTACTAAACCGCGTCATTTCCGTATTAAACCGAATCTTATTGTAAAAACCCGTATCACTCATGTTGCCAAATGACCCTTTTCCTTCATTACCCGTAGTAGTTACGTCAAAACCCGTAGTCATAGTATTACCGTTGTACATCCGTATCGGACTACGGAAACTGCATTTCCGGGATCTTCCGTGAGATTTAATCCGTATAGTGGAACCGGCGAGGTGATCCGTGAATTGGAATTAAAATTGGGAACAATTACGTGGGCTGCCCAACGTGCGCAGATGACATAATTCTATGTGCTGGTTCAGAACATGATGCCTCAACCCAACTCCGCATCATTGAAAACTGTACCAAAAATGAGCGGGTAAAGATAAACAGCAAAAAAACTGAAATACTGCTGATTAATTAAGAAATAAATCTCAACTTTTTAATGAAAAAATCGACGAAAAGCAGAACATCAAACATTTAGGTATTGAAAAACAAGAGAAAAACAATCCAAACATAGAGAAAAGAATCTCTGCTGCAAGAGCTACAATGTATTCACTGTTAGGTGCAGGTTTACACACTGTAAATCTAAGTGTTAATAAATAGAACACTGCTTGAACGCTTTTTTGTAACACTTTTTGAACGTGTAATGGTGTTCCAAATGTTTACACTAGTGTTCATCAATTGAATGTGTGGTGTTCAGTTTTTAATGCCTTTGTGTTTCATTTTTGAACACTTGATGTTAGAGTTCTTAACACTTAGTGTTCAACGATTTAACGTGTCCGAATGTTCAAAATCTTAATACGTCGACGCGTTCAACAGCCATGTAACACTTTTTGAACACATAGAACATGTTTAAAGCCAAAGTGTTAAGATTCAGAACACCAGATGTTAACTTTCAGAACAGTTGACATAAGTGTTCAAAGTGATGGTGTTCAAATGTGGAACATGTTCTATTTTCAAGCGTACATAATTTTCCATAAGTACTGAACTTAAATAAACTGTTATAAAAACTATATTCAATCAGGCAAAATATAACAATAAAACATAATTTAACAAGTAATTCTTTATGTAATCAAATGAGCATATTATATGTAAGAAAAGTACACCAGATACCTTATGATATCACAAGTAACAGTCAGTGAAATCACATACATAATGTTTTTAAACTGACTTAAATATGACTAGATAGTTGCAACATCGTTTGTATCCTAACCAAAAAAGCATGTCAATGTGATAATTAGATAGTTTATGATATAGGTATTTGTCACAATGAAAGTTTAAAAGTTTGCAAATTCCAACAGTTCTTGTACGATCACATACAATGTACGCTCCACTTTTCAGTGCATCTTCACTTAAAGCTATCAACTGGGTGGCATTTTATGTGTTGTTTTCAACTTCCAATGTCAAAATCCTCCACAACAAGGAATGTCTATGAGCCTATATATCCTGCAAAATAAAATTTAAAAATTAATAGAAGAGAGTTTTTCATAAAGCATCAAATTATGCAATGCTTGTTATGCTTTAATGTCGATATATACTAGTGTACAAATTGATATTCTATAGCAATGAAATGCAAATTTTGACATTATAAATTACAGAAGTCGATTTCTTGACCTAAGGTGAACAGATAGAAATGATACACCCACATAAGCTATTAATATACATATATTGTCATACCTTTTTTCGACATCTTTCTTTTTTCCACCACTTTATAGCATGCAGAAATGACCTTTTTGGGATTATTGGCTACCGGTTCCTAATTCAAACATTTTAATCTAACGATTCCTGCAAATAAAATAAACAAATGCATTTTCTAAGTCAAAAATGGTGTTCCAAATGTTTGCACTAGTGTTCATCAATTGAATGTGTGGTGTTCAGTTTTTAATGCCTTTGTGTTTCATTTTTTAACACTTGATGTTAGAGTTCTTAACACTTAGTGTTCATCAATTGAATGTGTGGTGTTCAGTTTTTAATGCCTTTGCACAGTGTTTCATTTTTGAACACTTGATGTTAGAGTTCTTAACACTTAAGTGTTCAGCTAATGTATGTGGATGTCGGAAATCATCATTTATTCTGTATAACAGACAGACTGTTTATTCATCAGTTTAGGAAATCATCAGAACAAAGCTGACAGTTATTTACGTTTATATCTAAAGCCCGTTTTTTAATTCGTCTTTTATGTTGAATATTGAAAATTTGGATATAACAGTTATGAATATTTGACAAATATATATCTGGCATGAGAAAATAACAAGGAAACCATCGAACTACCTATGGAGATTATTCTAACTTGTTACTTACTTCTTTCGTGTTCATATGGGATAGAAGTCCCTTCTCCAGTTCTCTTTCTTATGTGTATCCATTCTTCGTTTAACCGCCTAAATCGCCAGCCGATATCTGTTTCCGGTATTTGGTATCCTGGTATATTTTTTTTTAACACGAGGTGTTCAAAATTTCGAGCGATTTGAACACTGATTGAACATGTAATGTTAATAAAATGAACGGATCATGAAATAAGATAAACATCGACATATTTTTATTACGATATTATCATAACAGGCCTCATTGATATGCATAATTATGTCACTTATAAGTAAAACTAGTATATATAAATAAATAATAAAATAAATTCATAAACTATACATATATGTCAGCTTGGAAGTTTAATATTTCACAATTACTAAAATATTAGCCAAAAATTCACAAGATCATCATCCTGCGTATACATTCATATTTTTTAAAGAATTTCTTTTTGAATTTGCCAATTGGAAGGATAGAAAATCGGACAAACGACTATCTTCTTTTTTAGATCAGAATTTGAACACCGGTGTTCAGTGCGTCTGAACACACATGTTAATATTTTTAACACAAACGTTAAAACTTTGAACACGTCTCTAAGCATGAACCTATGACGTTGAAATATTGAACATTCGGTGTACAAATTTTGAACGCGTCCGGACGCGTCAGGCGTCAGGTATATTTACAGTGCATGGAATAAATGGTATAAATCCACTATTATCATATAAACTATGGCGAACATATGTAATACCAAGAATGCTCTATGGAATTGAAATTCTCAACATTACCAAAACTGATACCCAAAAATGAGAAACTTTTCAGAAAAAAAAACATTTAAACAAATTCTGTCTTTACCAAAAAGAACTGCTGATGCTGCTATCTATATCTTGCTCGGAGCAGAAACTATTGAACAACTCATACATAAAGCTGTCATTTCCCTATTTCTAAGAATATCAAAAGATCTAAACTCAATTGAATGTAAAATTGGAATTAGACAGCTAGCAACAAAAGACGATAAATCAAATAGTTGGTACATAAACGTGGACAAAATACTCAAATCTTATGATCTTCCATCCGCCCATGAGATTATACTTAATCCAGAGAAAAATTGGAAACGATTGACTCACGGTGCAATAGACACAACCTGGAAAAATAGATGGACCGAAATAGCTAGAAGCAAAACAACACTCAATTACATGGAAGTTAACACCTGGAATTTAAATAAAAAAAACTTCTGTTGGAGCAGTGTCAGAGATCACAAAAGAGATGTTAGCAAAAATAAAGGGATAATCAAGTCCAGGATACTTACAGGAACTTACAATACCCAAAGTATTACAAACCGATTTGACGAAACAAAATCTGCAGAATGCAAATTGTGCATGGTAGGACCTGAGGATTATAAACACTTCCTAGTTACGTGTGAAAGTCTGAATAGTGTGAGAAAAATTCACCACAATAGACTCAAATCCCTACTGGAGGATAATCAGATCCCTTATTGCAATATATATAATTCTGATGAGGACCTTCTTGAATTCTTAGTTGACTGTTCTAGGAACAACCTTATATCAGTGTCTCAGCTGAGAGATTTAGAACGAATCTGCAAAGACTGGATCTATGCATTGCATGCTAAAAGAGCCCAACTTCTGGAAAACAAATGAACAATCATTTAAAGTTCTTGATTCTTAACTTGCAGGTGGCTGTCGGTCGTGGGAATGTAACAAATATTATACTACTTATGATGTATATACTTAATTAAATATTAAGTGATATAGAAAATTACTTCTAAGTTAAAACTATAACTAGAGTATATGAATATTAATGACCCTTGTAAATAACCTTGTAGATCTTAAATTGTGTTAATGACCTACTGTTTTTAAAACTAATCTTTATAGAGTTTTTTTACCATTTTAGATTTTAAGTACATTCATATATAAACTAAATATGAAACCACACAAGTGCATAAATTTACCCATTACTAATACGGAATAGTAATTCATATCACTTTCTTTTTCTAAGAGAATTTTACAAACAACTGATAAGCTAGTATTTTATCCATTTTGAAATAAATGTAAAATTTTGTAAGCTCACATCAGTCTGAGCATGTATAGTGTAAATACAAGTTCCTGTTTTTTAATTAATTTTTAATTTTGTCCTATTCTAACTCTGTTACTATTATTATTTTAATTTTAACTAGTACATAAATTTTTTAATAACGCACTTTTAAAAATAGACAATTTTTAAATGTGGTAACCCTGCAAATAGGGTGGACTTCCTGAAGAAGAAGAAGAATATCAGTGAATGTGTGACCTAGGCATAACCGCGGTAAGGTGTGACCGGGGCTTAATAAAAATTAACAAGAGTTAATGAACAACTTTATCTTTCATAAGTCAATTTTTCGGAAATGCCTATATATTTCTATATAACAAAACTTCAATTAGTTCCTTCAATTAGCATCCAATCAAAAAGTGTTATATTACCATTTCCTGGTGGTTATATTGTGATGGAAGGTAAATTGAAGTGAAATTAATTTTTTTCCTGAAGAGGCTACTTGAACACAATATTGAGGAAGGAAGTTCATGTTTATTGTTGGTTATATACATTGATTCGAGTGTCACTAATGAGTCTTATATATAGACAAACCGAATTACAAGCTTCATATAGTTTATGAGTTTTTCATTTGACTTTATTGGATGGGATAATGTACCTGTTTATTTTAATTAACAACCCTATTGCGATAGTCACAGGTAATTAAATTATATATATTCATAAAAACAAAATTCATATCAAACAGAAACGAACGTTAACTTGCACAATCTTTATGAATATTATTTAGCAAATAAATATCTAGTCCGTTTTGAATTATCTTAAAAAACAGCTTTATTAGCCAGAAATCAATTTGAGAAATAACAATATGTGTTTGTCTTGTGCTTTCTGTTTTATGAAGGATTTATTGCAAATTAACCATCTGGGGCCGTGTCAACGAAGCTGTCCTAGGACTAGGACATGTCTTAGGATGGTCTTAGGACACGTCTTAGTCCTAAGTCAGGTTAACGAACGTCTCCTAAAATAAGATATGTCCTAAATTTGGTCCTAAAGTTAGGATATATAAATAGGTGTCTTAGGATAGTCCTAAAAGTTACGATGTCCTAAAACGAAATAAAAACAACAAATATGGCATAAACTCAATAGTAAAAATACTTATACAATATCAAACTATAATAATGTTATAAGAATTAAACTAATTAAACAAAATATTTTTCAATATTTGTTTAAGATTCAATTGTGTTACATTATTTTCAATTTGTAGACAAATTTTGTCTTTAAAATACTTCCGATATTAACAACAAAAAAGCGTTTATAGTATTCAGTTTGATTTTATGGAAAAATAAGCATATTACAAGAACTTTGTACGGTTGTGCTAGAACTAACTTGATGCACATATTTAAATACATTGAGATATTGCTGAGTCGGTCCGTGTAACACATATCAATTCAAAATTTTTAAAAAATTTCAAATTTTATATTTTGGGAATTTTGATCAAAGTTTTAAATATCAAAATATCAAATTTTTGAAATTTTTTGAAATTTTGAAATTTTCACCAAATAATTAAAATTTTAAAATTCGAAATGTCTTTTATAAATTTGATAGTTTAGATATTTGATCAAACTTTAAATGTTCTAAACTTAAAGTGCAGTTTTGATTATTTCGCTTTTTGAAAGTTTATTTTTTTTTATTTTTGATTAAAATATCAGAAATAGAAAATGGGCGAAAAAAGGGGTACCTGTAAAGTGCGAAACGGAATAAAAGCGGAACGAAACGAAACAAAAGAACTGTTACTTAAAAGTTAATGTATAAAATAAAACCAGCGGCAGGCAGTTGTAAGCGGTGAACACTTGAACAAAATAAATATTTAGACAGATTTAAACCGGCATCAAACAAGTTAATTTACTTTAGAAAAAATCTCTTATATAAGCTTAGCGTTTTAGATAAATAATTCAGAACTATTTGGTTTCCCAAGCGCCCAACATTTAGGAGTGACAATGAAACTGACCAACTCGCAGCAGGTCGAATAGTATGATAGGGTTTATTATGTGAATATTTTCTGTCGTACTTAAATAAATGGCTCAAAATTTTGAAACGCGTGTATTCCCTCAAAATTGATTTTATTTCTTCTTTTTTTTTTTTGGCTCTTCGACTTCTTACTATCTGCAATCATGTCGGCAGATGAAATCATTGAATGTACATTTTGAACAATCATCTCTGTTAACATTGTATCAACTATTTCGGTTGTTATAAATTGTTGACCTTCAAATATTCGGCTTTTGAGCCTTCATGATGAAGATAGATCCAGACAAGCGCTTCGGACGCATGCAATTTTTAACATTATATTTTCATATTTTATCGATTGCATGACAATCATATATTGCCTTTCATTGATTTCAGTTCAAAGTATTGATACCGTAGGACTCCTGAATTTATGGTATCGCAATGAACGTTGTGCTAGCCAAGAATATAGGAGGTTGTTGATAACTATTTTACACTACTACCCGCTATGCAAGCTGAATTTAAGAGTAAGATCAAACATTAGTAGCTTGGAGCATGCAGGTTACTGTTAAAATGTATCTAACATTAAAATCCAACTCATCGTGCTTTTCTTGTAAAAGCTGAATACATTCATACCATATAAACGTAAATCATAAACATTATTTTAAGCCTGCATATCTATGCAATAGTTGCCGCTGTACATTACACGCTCATCTATCCATTTGTAGGTGTCGGCATTTTGAAATCGTAATTTGAAATAATTTTAAAAAGATCATATCAACAATAAACATATGATCAAGTTGAAATAGCCAATCGAGATGGTAATCTATTTGGGAATCGGAAAAATAAATATTGTCACTACGGTGACACTATATTTGACTCGGATACCTCCTGGAGGGGCTTCAATAATGGTACATTGTTCAGGTGCGGATCCATGAATTTGAAAATGTGGGGGCCAAGTTAGACAACGTTTGGACCGATGCTTGTAAAATGGCTATGCATTTATCATATATGTAGCTCCGTTAGGGATGGGCGAGCCCCCTGCCCCCGTAAATCCGCCTCTGTTTTTAAAAAGTGCCTAAAAGGAAACGGGATATTTTTGTATCAGGGGATAGTTCCGTATTTGTTATTTGCGCATTTTTAAGTTATCGTACAACAACGAACTTTGGACAAAGTACAATTAAGTACGCAGACACTTCCAATCAGAATGGGGCGCGCTCTTTGCTATTTTTGACGTCCATTTTGGCCATACACTCTCGAAAAACCAGGACAATGTAAAACGCTGAATTTTAAGTAAAGCATTTAACTACGGAAAGCTGAAAACTAAATATTTGAATGTCAAGTAAATATGAGAACCGAAACAACTGAAGAAGTGTGTGGTTAAAACGAAAGTTAAGAATATCAAAATCCATCTAAGGGCTTCTTTGCCCGAGGGGGTCGAAACCTAAGTTTCTTTGTAGTTTGTATATTTCAAATGATTGATTGCTGGTTGCCAGTGGCAAATATTTCATGCATGTTCAGGAGAATAACAAATTAACAATAAATACTATAAGTAGGTTCTGTAAGAGTCAGTTCCGGATGAAGATCGGCAAATTAAGATGCCACTGGGAAATGAAAGTATATTTATATGGGATCACAAGCGCTTGGGTATATGATATACAGATATTTTTTGTTGTTGATTAATATATTCAATTTTCTATATTTATACTACATATCTATCACTACTGCGCATGTCTCACCTAATTTCGAGTGATTTTACCAACTCTTGAGACAACTCCCATTTTTACTGTTTCTTAGTGTGGATAGTAAAAATGGGGGTTGTCTCAAGAGTTGGTAAAATCACTCGAAATAAGGTGAGACATGCGCAGTAGTGATAGATATGTAGTATAAATATAGAAAATTGAATATATTAATCAACAACAACAAAAATCCAAAAAAAATATCTGTATCATATACCCAAGCGCCTGTGTATGGGATAGGGACAGAAATGTTGCCTTTCAACAAACCAACGAGCTACTGCAGAGGTTCTTAATGTGAGGGAGCTTGGCACTCTTTCTACACGCCACATTCTGACAAGACTTCGCTGCGTACTTGTACTAACAATGATCACAGTTTAAGTTGATTGTCGTGAGATAACTTAAAAATGCGCAAATTAAAAATACGGAACTATTATAATATACAAAAAATTCCTGTTTCCTTTTATTCGCTGTTTGAAAACAGGGCGGATTTAGTTCCCCTAATGGAGCTACATATATGATAAATTCCTAAACCTTTTACAAGCATCAGTCCAAAGAAACGTTGTCTTAGGGAGCAACCATTTAACTTCAAAGGGGGTATGGTTTTTTGTCGGAGTAAAATTTCATTTGGTATTTCAACGCCATCAATCAAATTATTTTGTTCAAAATTTAACACAATAGGTTCATGGGGAAAATCTTGATTCATTTTTTTTTTGTTCTCTGCTTGACCAGAATTTTTTTTTTCATCAAATTGGGGATTAGAATATTTTTTTAAGGAAAATACCGTATCCCACTTTTTGAAGTTAAATAATCGTTCCCGGACTAGACCCCCACCTTTTCAATTTCATTGATCTGCATGGTACATTTTTTAGGTGCTTTAAATATTTAAAAGTTCATATTATCGATAAATGGTTTTCTATTTGGGAATCGGAAATATAAAAATTGTCACTAAGGTGACACTAAACTTTTAAAGATTTATTTTGAATCACGTTTTTAAAATGCCGACACCTACAACCCTTATTTCAAAAGAGTAACGTATGGCCAGTCCTAGCATTTATAAGTGGCATGCAACGACGGCGCATACAAAAGATAATAATTTTGTGGCATGTTGTTCCTTTCCTCGGTCGGTTCACATCGTAAATCATACACTCAGAAAGGCCTTTGTTTTCGATTGCAAACATGATGTCCTAACTCATCCCATACATGTTCAGTGAATGCCATGTCAAGATATCGATTGCTTAGCATCACACAAATGTTGGCATTGTTACGAAAGGTTGTTGAAATTCGGACAGTATGTGGACAAGCGTTGTCATGTTGGAATACTCACAAATCCTGATGAGTTTGAAAAATTATGAAACATGTGATGAAAATGTAGTTTCTGTATATCTGTGCGTTCACAGATCTATCATGAAAATTTTAAGGCGTTTTATATGGGGAGAATCGTCTGATATTCGGGGAATAAGAGAAGGAATTATTTCTAATATTACTAGAAGCAACAATAACTGTCCTTTCAGTTCTTAGGCTAAGAAACGACAGTTATTGCTGTATAGATTTAATTTATTTAAAGTAAGTTGCTTTGGGTTAATTTCGGGAGTATATTTTGAGAATTCTTGATTATTTAACGAAAAAAAAATCGTCTTCTGTCAGAACTACACTCCCAGTAGATAATGATACTGACCTTGTATCGTATGACTTAAACCTGCCACAGGCCGTTAAAATCTAGAAAAAAATCGGTCATGGTAATAGGTACGTAAATAGGCTTTTCCAAGGATATGCTTTTAACATTTTGCTTACAACTAGAGCATGCGGTACTTCATATATAAATATCGAGAAAATGTTAAGTGTAACTTTTACATATATTTAGATATAAAAAAATTATGTCAGATTAGATATTCGAAAAAAAAGAAGTACAAAATATAAAGAAAAACACAAAAATATCGCAAAAAATTCTGAAATGTTGTCTTCTTAATTCTCAAAACACTGTCATACGAATTCTGAAAAGTGATATGTTAAAAGCTACTGAAATTTGAATTTAATTGATAGCAAATTTGAATTTGTAGCGGGTCACCTAATTGTTATTGTTTTGTTTTTGTATTATGAAAATATATAGTTGAATCTTCTTTGAAACAGCTAAAGTAAGGGTCGTCACTGAATACTGTGCTTCGAAATCTTATTTTGTAACGTCTTTAGATATAACTGGTACACTTGAATATTTTATACGACAGAAATAATTAGATGACTCCGAATCCAAGACCCCAAAACTAAAAACGATCGATAAACCTATTAAATATATGGCATTGCCATGATTTCTTGCACTTTTCATAATATCTCATCATCAATTTTACTCAGAATTTCTGAAACCGACGACATTATAGGTCATACATATTTTACTTTTAATAAATGCATGCAAGCATTCTTTGGTACGGTATTACTAGCTTAATTATCAATTATAAGGTTTCAACTCCCTCAGAAAAAGTCGATCTTAGAAGGATTTAACCATGTGTATGTTCTTTTTGGTCATATAGCTCTTTAAATGTTTTGGTTCTTATGCTTCCTTGACTGGCTTTCAAAAATTCGGCCCTGTGTGTTCCTAATGAAGGTAAATTTCGAGAAGCACTTTGGACGCAAGCAATTTTTAAAGAATTGTTTTCAAATTCTTAAGCGGATTTTCAAAGGAAAATATCAATTATAAATTTGATGATGTACGGCGGTTCGGTGTCGGGCTTTCGGACGTCTGGCAAACAGTGTCCGTGCATTTTCTTGAAAACACTTTGATGAAATATTTTCAAATTTAAATTTGTTGTGTCCTGTGACTAAATGAAGGTCAAGTTCAATTTGCATGATTTTAGCTATTGAGTCGTCTACCTTTATGTAGCGAAAAGTGATACTCAGTACTTTGCACTTGTAATAACTTGAAAACACCTTTCTGAAATTTTCAAATTTAGATTCTGTACGTTGTTTCCTGTGAATCAATGAAGGTCAGGTTCGATTTTCAAGATTTTAGCTTTTATCGTTGTTGAGTTGTAAATATTTTAGTAGTGAAAAGTGATACTTATATTGATTTGGGCTTTCCATTTCTGCACCCTACAACAATTCATTAATTATGTTTGCATGATTCTGTTTGGGGGTCTCAGATTTGCAAATATCATTTTCATGCAGGAAAATCTGGTTTGCTGTGAATCTGACAGCCTCTTCACTTGTATACTTTTGTTGTGCTTGTACTGGTATTTTTGTTGTCTTTTATACATTAATGACAGGAGTAAGTTTTTGTTGTATCTGCTATATACATTACTTTATTCCATTGATTGATATTTAAATGGGTTAATTGTTGAGATTTAGTTAATCATGTTGGTATTTAGTCCTTTTCTTCGGTTTCATCTTCTGATTATTGTCAAATATGAACTATGTGTGTTGATGGCTGGTCTTTGATTGTTAGTTTTAAAATGCTTTTATTCTAGACCCTTGGCGTTTAAGAGCTTGTAATATTGTAGACATCTCAACGCCACGAAATAGTGTTGAAATTGGCCTTAAACACCAAACATGAATCAATAAATCTGTTTGTTGTTATAGACCAGAGATTGACCCCTAGAGATCTTGTAATTGTTTATGTCCTTTTGGTTACTGTCACAAACAAATGTTGCAGAACATTTTGATTAGTATTTTTGCAAGCAATAATGGATAGACTCTATAGCGTAGCCAAACTAGTCAGCAAGACAAGATTTTGGCTAGCACAGTTTCCTTTCAACAAAATGATTCTGGTTCAACTTAATCATTTTTGGCGAATATACCAAACGAGTGATACAGGCTCCTTGAAGCCTATAGATTAAAAAGAACCTTAAATTTAATTAAATGAAAATTATCTCTACCCCAGAAACAGATAGCTTAAGGCCTTTACTGTATTTGACAAAACCTTTTTGGAATTTTGGTTCCTAAATGCTCTTCAACCTCGTACTTTATTTCATTTTTTTTCAATCGAGCGTAACTCATGAGTCTTTTACATATGAAACGCGCGTCTGGCGTACAAATTATAATATTGTGGTATCTATGATGACTTTCTTTAAATTTATGACACTAAACCCCTTACAGGAAATATCAACTGACAAGTAAAACATAATAAAATCGCACAATGTTATGTCTTATAGGTGCTGTTATCAACCTTTATATTCATATGGAGAGCATCATTGGAGAAACAGTTATTCTCCCTTGTGAAAACAAACAAGGCAATTTCAGTGGAGTTCAATGGGCTCGTCGAGACAAAAATACTAAAATCTACTTTACAACTGTATACACCGATGGGTGGAGAGTTAATACAGATTTGCAGATTTACGAGAGACTAAAGATCGTTGGCGCGAGAGGTGGGAAAGATTATGGATTACAAATATCAAGTGTAACAATGTTGGATTCTGGGTTATACAGATGTGCAGTGGATACCAAAACTAATCTGACTTATCATTTTGTTACTTTGGAAGTTAAGGGTAAGTGGTTTACCAATAATCTTGATTAAAAGATCATCTTTTCGTTCATCTGTTTAACAAAAAGTGTTAGTACGATTTTAGTGACAATTATGTCCAAAACTGAGTTGCCTTAATATTTTTCCCGCATTTTCAGATATTAAAAATTGAAGCTATAAAATTAAATCAATCATACTTTAGTTTTAAACAAGGTGAAATAGTGAATTTGCCGACAATCGTTTAAATTATATGTAGCACACACCTCTTTGAATTTTTTTTTTTGTGTTTACTAGTTGACAACTGGCCCTTTTGGGCGAAGAATGTGGTCTGTAATAATTTTATCGAAATATTTGAGATATTAGGCTATTGTTGCTACAATTAGGTAAATCGTTCCTGTGACGTCTTTTTAATGAAAGTACGTCACAGTCAACATAATCATCAACCGTAACCGAATACTTACATTTTGGTTAACACATCAACATGGATATTAAGTAGGTAAAATATATATAATACCATTGTGATAATCATACATTACTATTTTAAATTGCATGGCCAAATTATGCTCCAAAATATATCTTAGTACATACAGTGGAGATCACTTCTAACCTCTCATTAGAACTGTCAGAATAATCTGTCATAGCTCTGTTCTGAACTGTCCTAGAACAGTTCTACCTAAAAACAGTTCTAGGGTAGAACTGTCAGGATCAGTTTCTAGGGTAGAACTGTCTAAAACTGTTCTAGGTAGAACTGTCCAAATCAGTTCTAGTCGTAGAACTGTCAGCAGAACTGACCAAATCAGTTCTAACCGTAGAACTGTCAGCAGAACTGACTAAATCAGTTCTAACCGTAGAACTGTCAGCAGAACTGACCCAACCTGTCAGGATTGTAGAACAGTTCTAAATGAGAAATGTTAAAACAGTGCTGTGATGAGAATTTTTTAATATATATTATATTCTTTTGACTTATTTATATTTAAGACAAAGAGTTCTTAAAACTGTTCTATGGATAGAACTGACTAAATCAATTCTAGCCGTAGAACTGACCAAATCAGTTCTAATCGTAGAACTGTTCTATCCGTAGAACTGTTCTAGTCGTAGAACTGACCAAAGATTTGGTCAGTTCTAGGTAGAACTGTCTAAAACTGTTCTAGGGTAGAACTGTCAGGATCAGTTCTAGGTAGAACTGTCGAAATCAGATTTAGGTAGAACTGTCGAAATCAGATTTAGGTAGAACTGACGAAATCAGTTCTAGGTTAGAACTGTTCTAGCTAGAACTGTCTAAAAGGTGTCAGGATGACAGTTCTACATACTGTCCTAGAACAGTTCTCCTGACAGATTCTGACAGATTTGATGAGAGGTTAGAAGCGATCTCCACTGTAACTGTTTGAAATAGAATGCGTATGAAATCATGACACAAATCAGTCATTTCTAGACTGAAAGTACTTTGAAAGTTTTCATTGAATTTAAATGATTACTAGTATAACATTTGATTGTTAATATTTGTAGCTGGGAAAATAATCGGAAATATAATAGTTGCAAAAACAAATTTGTTGATGTGCCCGGAGAGAACCAACGACCCACGACAGGAAAACTGGCAATCCTCTTCAATTTTGATCGGAGTCAAATGCACCTGTCATGTGCGGGGCTCGAATTAACTGTGTGAAGACAGGCTAGCGGTATTCCTGGCTTGGTATAGGCATTTTCTTATGTAGACAATTGTGGATTAAACACTAGACACTAAAGATTAATCCACATCAAAATCCCCCAACCCCCCCAAAAAAAACTATTGCAGAGTTGTTGATATTAGTTTAACAATGTAATTCTAACGACCATTAGCAGAAAAGGGGCAGCGTTTACAAGACGTTATACATTAGTTTTAGGTAGAAATCCTGATATATGATAATATCAAAAGATTTTTTTTTAAATAAATAAAAAACTAATTGAATATGATTCTGCACAAGCGAGGCTAAATATACATTGTGATCGTCAGTTTCGAGTTACAAGGTTAACTTTCTGTTTTTGATTTATTATGTATTCTTGTAAATCCTTGCTTCGCCTGTGCTACAGGGTTTCAGAGAACTTCCTAATGATTCGTAAATAATAACCATCTTCTTTGATGTAATAATTATTGTTTTATCTTTTTTTCCAGATAAATACGAGGACCTGAGAACCGTTCAATTTACGACGAACATAGATGATAGTCGAGTTTTTTCATGTAAATCACAATTGTATTTATTTACCTCAAACAATTTCAATGTAAATTGCAAGTAAAAGAAAATTGTTAGAAACAAACATAAAAAAACTAAATTAAAATGCAAAGAAAAACAAGGAAGAAAGAAAAAGAAAAAACACCACATAATCTTAGTATTGCACTACACGCATTCCAGTAAAAGCCGACAAAAAATTAGACCAATAGAAATAACATAAAACAAAATAAAATAAAACATGATCGAGTTGAATATTGAAAAAAAAATACTAGACAGGCTTTCCATTGCTAAAAAAATAAGTGAAAATAACAAACAAACGTACAAATACGCAAGGACACATACAACCAGATGAAATAGAAAACAAAACTAGATTTGCAATTGAGAGCAATAGTGGATGGCATCCTCGTATTGCCAGGGTAACAGCAGCAATTTTGAGAATTCCAAAGTCAAACCGCAACTCCACGCATGCCATTTTGCTATTACTATGACAACGGCAGCCATCTTGAAAATGCCAACCCCCAATTTCAAATCTGCGACTCTATTCACAGAAAAATCTTACGATTAAAACTTATCGATAGTTATACTGAAATGTGTATGACTTACGAGTATTTTTACTCTTAATGTTTTCTGTGAAAAGAGCCGCTGCACATGTTGGGTAACATTATGGTATAATTTCATCAACTTAGGTCAATTCAATTTTGAGATCCAGAGTGGAGAACAAAAAATAAAACAAAAAAAAGAAACGTAGAATAACAATATGTCACCATAACTCCGTTGAGGATGCCACAATAATCATGCAATTGGCGTTACAAGGGACCACAGATCTCGGCATTTTGAAATCGTAGGATTGATTGGATTTTATCTACTTAATGCCCTTACGTATTTGCCACAAACAATACAGCTATAGAAGAGACGTATCTATAATGATAATCTTTCATACAGATAATGTATTTCAATATAATATGTTGTAATGTATAAGAAGAAATGTTTTTTTTTTCTGTAGTTTATTTTACAATTACAAAAGTAGGAATAATCAAACAAAAAACCAAGATATTTTACACACTTATCGGTAAGTTGTATTGTTACATTGCAGCAGTTCCTATTGTTTCCATCCTCTCGATTCCGTCATTTATAGTGGTCATGTTAGCATTGATTGCAGCAATTAGACTATGTCAAACAAGACATACGAACAAAGTATTATGTTTACCAGTGAACAATCAACCGGTCGGTATTGACGAAGTACAGCAAAGTGAAAATCATTATGATGAGATCGATTATGAGGAGATGTCTTGCGAAGTTCAAAACAATTCTTTGAGTGATACTTCATCTTACCTGATCCCCGTTTCAGGAAATGTCGAAACAATACTCTTGAATGAGGAAAACTCTTTGACAGGGCCATCACAGGAAATCGACGGGAATAGCCAAGCAAACGTTTCGGAACATACCTACGACTATTCCTACGTTAGCAATCTTTATCAACCACTCACTGAACATTGGGGAAGTTACTGTCGTACGTATGCACAATGTCCACCATGTCAACCTGTTAGTGGTTATCACAACATTGCTGACCCAAGTCAAATTTGCAATATGTATCAGCATCTGTTGCCGATAAGAGAAGACGCTAAACACGTCTATAGCTAAAACAAAATTAATATATAAGATGTACATATAATACGAGGAGCAGATTTTCGTTTACCTTCATTTAGCTTTGTTAAAATTTGAAGCACTCGATAATTATGGCTGCAGGATTATTATTATTGATATTGTAAATATTGGTATGTACTTTTCTGTTTTTAAATAAACAATCATATTTTCAGTTAGAAATTTTATTTTGTTAGGCTATGAATTAGTCACTGCATGTAATAAATGTCCGAGCGACTAACAATTTTCAACGGAAATGATTAAAAGCGGATAGACTTTATTATGAACTTTCATATTGTGATTAATTTGATAGATACAATTTTCAGTAAAAGCAGCCCCGTATGGATTAGGGTCGCATTAGCCATACGTATTAATTAGTGTTATACACGCATGTTTTCCAGAGATTTGTAGTAATTAGTCCTTCTCAATTTTGTTTTATTCTGATTAATTTTGTATCAAATCGCCTATGGATAAAATGCTTGAAGGTTGATGTAGTCAACAAAAAGTATTCTTTTAAAACGGCAAATACATAATTTAGCATTATATAACCGGGGGTTTTCCGGCTATAGTTATTCAAAGACGGAATACCAATACTTTAAACTTTATTAGCAAGGTCCGGACAGTACCAGACCTAAGACCTAAACTGCCCTCAAAATAACATACAAAGGTATTATATAAAAACAGTATCCATAGAAAAGGATTAGTGTCCAACGGATTAACTTTTTATCGTCAAGGTGGTTTCCATGGTTTATTCCTTGAATGCCAACATCCTTTGATCTACCGACAATTTACCTGTAAAATTATGTTGGCGTTCAAGGAATAGGTGTAAGTAGTTATCACAACAAAAGTGCATGCTTAGCAAAACAATCATACTAATTAAACAGATAGGTAAATTACAAGTAGCTAAATCTAGTTCATGTTTGTCAAGTTGTTGAAAACCTTTTTTTGCTGTTACTGCACAAATATGGATTCTCTTAAAATGAAACTCTGAAAAGTGTTGCATCACAAAGTTAACATTTTTTCAGAAATTCCAGTTTGCACAAATTCTACATTAGACTCTTTGGACTTTGATGTTGCTTTTCAATATTTCTATAGTTGTGTGTGATGTAATATCATATTTCTTGATGGAATTTCTTGAAACTTTGTATCTCGTGTAAGATTACTATGTGTTATTATGGCCCCCGTCTAGTGGTGGTTTGCCCTATTGTAATCAGTCTGTCCGTCCGTAACAAATTGTATCCGCTCTATTTAAAGAGAACCGTTATGATTTCAAAGTTTATACTTGACTTGTATATCAACCAACACCAGAGGGTGCGTCATTATATATGGACAACTTCCAAGGTCAAAGGTCAAGGTCAAAAACTTTGGTTTCAGCTGACAACCCCATGTCCTATGGTAAAGATCGTGTCCACTCTATATCTTGAGAACGGTTATGATTTCAAAGTTTATACTTGTATATTAACCAACACTAGAGGGTGTGTCATAATGTATGTACAACTTTCTAGGTCAAAGGTCCGTCCGTCTTTCTGAAAAAATCACTCTCAGCACATAACAAGACTATGTAATAACTTGAAAAAGTGCTTCATATCAGCTTATCCATACACATTTTTACAGCGGATGACCGTGAGGTAACTCCGGTGTATTGCTATCGCCTAAATTTCCATTATGTAAATTAGTTTGGGGTTTTTAACCGATCTATAAACATGATAAATACGCCGACATCATCGAGTGCAAAATAACATTCCTTATCGCTAGCTATATATTCATTTCTTCAATGAATACTCATCAAATATTTTTTGTTAGAACATAATTTAATAATATTAAATTTTTTTTTGTATGTATGTAAGTAAAAATTATTAATATCTATGCAGACGTACAGAAAAATTGTGTTAACGCATTCGGAAGAATATCTCAAGAACGATTGCAATCTCCTATAAAGAAGGTGAAGATTATATACATATACATGCAGGGTTATTGGTCCTTGCTCTCTCGTTTTGCGGGAAAATATGTATGCCTACTCAAATCCAATCTATAAGAAAAATCGAATTATTATAGAAGAGTGTCCACCATGCACTTGCACTGCACTATTAATAATTAGTAGAATAGAATGATATACAAATGGATGAAAATTATATATAAATGTAACTATAATATACAAATATTAATATTAATATAAACCAGAGTATATTGATTTGTATCACTACAATACATATATATATATATATATATATATATAATAGTTATTACGGTGATGTTGAATTCCCTTTCATTTATTTATCTTCCACACAAGAACTTGTCTCAGAAAAAAAATACATCCATACATTAACCTCACTTTCAGGTATAAAGATGTGATTTTTTTTCTGAGACAAGTGCTTGTGACATCCACAATAACTTGCGGTCATCCGATGTTCAGTACTTCAGTACTTTGATTTAGTTTGTAATAATTGTATTTAACTAAAATTTCTTATATATATATGTCTTATGTTATTAAAAATTTCCATTCCCAAAATATCTTTTTTTTAATAAAAAGAAATAAAAATGTTTTAATTTTCTTTATTTCTTTAAAATTCATAATAATTTTAACCCCAAAATCTACTCTTTTTTCTGATCAAAAAGTGATAAAATGTTTCAATTTTATCAAGTTCACTAATTAATTTTAACAGTTTATTACTTATAAAAACATTTAAATAGTTATAAAAACACCTATTGTTATTATATAAACGGTGTCTTCCTCGAATGCCAACATTATATATGTTGCCTATTCCTTGAATGCCAACAAAAATATTTCAATAGATGTTTATATAATAACAATAGGTGTTTTTATAACTATTTAAATGTTTTTATAAGTAATAAACTGTTAAAATTAATTAGTGAACTTGATAAAATTGAAACATTTTATCACTTTTTGATCAGAAAAAAGAGTAGATTTTGGGGTTAAAATTATTATGAATTTTAAAGAAATAAAGAAAATTAAAACATTTTTATTTCTTTTTATTAAAAAAAAGATATTTTGGGAATGGAAATTTTTAATAACATAAGACATATATATATAAGAAATTTTAGTTAAATACAATTATTACAAACTAAATCAAAGTACTGAAGTACTGAACATCGGATGACCGCAAGTTATTGTGGATGTCACAAGCACTTGTCTCAGAAAAAAAATCACATCTTTATACCTGAAAGTGAGGTTAATGTATGGATGTTTTTTTTTTTCTGAGACAAGTTCTTGTGTGGAAGATAAATAAATGAAAGGGAATTCAACATCACCGTAATAACTATTATATATATATATATATATATATATATGTATTGTAGTGATACAAATCAATATACTCTGGTTTATATTAATATTAATATTTGTATATTATAGTTACATTTATATATAATTTTCATCCATTTGTATATCATTCTATTCTACTAATTATTAATAGTGCAGTGCAAGTGCATGGTGGACACTCTTCTATAATAATTCGATTTTTCTTATAGATTGGATTTGAGTAGGCATACATATTTTCCCGCAAAACGAGAGAGCAAGGACCAATAACCCTGCATGTATCTGTATATAATCTTCACCTCCTTTATAGGAGATTGCAATCGTTCTTGAGATATTCTTCCGAATGCGTTAACACAATTTTTCTGTACGTCTGCATAGATATTAATAATTTTTACTTACATACATACAAAAAAAAATTTAATATTATTAAATTATGTTCTAAAAAAAAATATTTGATGAGTATTCATTGAAGAAATGAATATATAGCTAGCGATAAGGAATGTTATTTTGCACTCGATGATGTCGGCGTATTTATCATGTTTATAGATCGGTTAAAAACCCAAAACTAATTTACATAATGGAAATTTAGGCGATAGCAATACACCGGAGTTACCTCACGGTCATCCGCTGTAAAAATGTGTATGGATAAGCTGATATGAAGCACTTTTTCAAGTTATTACATAGTCTTGTTATGTGCTGAGAGTGATTTTTTCAGAAAGACGGACGGACCTTTGACCTAGAAAGTTGTACATACATTATGACACACCCTCTAGTGTTGGTTAATATACAAGTATAAACTTTGAAATCATAACCGTTCTCAAGATATAGAGTGGACACGATCTTTACCATAGGACATGGGGTTGTCAGCTGAAACCAAAGTTTTTGACCTTGACCTTTGACCTTGGAAGTTGTCCATATATAATGACGCACCCTCTGGTGTTGGTTGATATACAAGTCAAGTATAAACTTTGAAATCATAACGGTTCTCTTTAAATAGAGCGGATACAATTTGTTACGGACGGACAGACTGATTACAATAGGGCAAACCACCACTAGACGGGGGCCATAATAACACATAGTAATCTTACACGAGATACAAAGTTTCAAGAAATTCCATCAAGAAATATGATATTACATCACACACAACTATAGAAATATTGAAAAGCAACATCAAAGTCCAAAGAGTCTAATGTAGAATTTGTGCAAACTGGAATTTCTGAAAAAATGTTAACTTTGTGATGCAACACTTTTCAGAGTTTCATTTTAAGAGAATCCATATTTGTGCAGTAACAGCAAAAAAAGGTTTTCAACAACTTGACAAACATGAACTAGATTTAGCTACTTGTAATTTACCTATCTGTTTAATTAGTATGATTGTTTTGCTAAGCATGCACTTTTGTTGTGATAACTACTTACACCTATTCCTTGAACGCCAACATAATTTTACAGGTAAATTGTCGGTAGATCAAAGGATGTTGGCATTCAAGGAATAAACCATATAAACATCTATTGAAATATTTTTGTTGGCATTCAAGGAATAGGCAACATATATAATGTTGGCATTCGAGGAAGACACCGTTTCCATTACGACAAACATATTTAACAATAGAATTAATTAAACACAAAGAAATGTAAAAGGTTAAGATAAACGGATTAAAAAATTGTCACTATAGCACTTAAAATGTATTGTCTGAATTTGCTTTATTTCTAAGTCCCAATTGTCCAAATCTTTCTGGTTATAATTACTTCAAAGTTTGATCCCTTCCATGATATTTTCACATTTTACCCATATTGCCAAGAAATAATAACTACGTTGGTTTTTGGCAATGTCATATGATCATCGGCCATAGTTTCTAACGCTAGACCGTTAATGATGGTATATGTGGTAAATTCAAGTA